ACTTCCCTTAGCATGACGTGGTGCCAGGAGGAGAATTTGTCGGTTCCATTCTTAGAGTTGATAGCGAGAAACACTCAGGGAGGATGAGAATGGCTACAAGCAAGCTTTATTGTCAGCTACTCAGTTTTTATACGTTTTTGGGTAGCTATGGGAAGCACGTTACTTCACTGTGGAATTTTCAAGGATGTCACAAGGTTAATATTTTCCATGGGTTTGTTAGTCAAGCAGAATGCAGTTGAACTTGTAGCCTTCCTCACAGTTTGTTCAGTCTGTTTGTTTCCCTGGTTAACAGCTTGTCCTTCTTTGTGGCTTTATGGTTACCTGAATGGAAGGGGTAAGGAGCGTGTTCATTTAGAGATTAAGTGACTTTTAAACTTCAGCCCAGAAACAAAATGGAGTTACATTGGCCATGTCACCATTATGTGTTGAGAATGTTCTAGACTCTTGTTGCTTTAATAAGCACAGGAATGAGGATTCAGTCTGTCACCCTTGAGCTTGAACATGGATAGAAACATGACCTTGAGTTGGAGAAGAGCAACAACCAGGAGCAGGAGTAGGAGCAGGATCAGGAGTAGGAGCACAGCAGGAGCAGGAGCAGGAACTGGAGCTGGGCAGGAGCAGGAGTAGGTACAGAAGCATGAATAGGTACAGGAGCATGAGTAGGTGCAGGAGCATGAGTAGGTACAGGAGCAGGAGCTGAGCATGAGAAGGGGTAGGCACCTGGGCAAGAACAATACCAAGAGCAGGAGTAGGAGCAGCGGGAGGCACCACCACAAGGGAAGAATTCTCTTGCTCAGCAGCCAGCTCCCTGCTTTAAGGAATGTTTAGCCATTAATGGAGAACTTAATGGGTATAATGCTATTACCCCTGTTCTGGGGCATGTGACAGGTAAAAGGGAGCCTTGTATAGGAAATTTCTCCCTTCAAATTGTTGTCGTCCCATTTCATTTTTTTATCTGTTGGAGATCGGTAGCTGTAGATAGTGAGGGGCAGGCCAGAGCTGTAAGTCCCTGGCTTCTCCGCTGCTCCCAATTCCCCTAGCATCCTGCCCCACCTTGCTCTTGCAAAATGGCATTCTCTATCTCACATATCCTTATCTTTGTCTCCTCAGGGGAAGCTCTGCCCATGTGTCCACACTGGATATGCACTGAACTGTCACCTTTCTGGCGGTTGTGTTTGGATGCCTGCAATTTGGGTCAGAAAGGGAGTCATATGTATGGGTTAGTGGAAAATCTACTTCATTTTAGCTGGAATGGACTTGGTTTAAGGGAGGCTGACACCTAGAATCAGGGACATGGTGGGAGACAAGGTCTGGTTGTAGAACTCCGCATACCACACTGAGAGTTTCATCTACTTATAATTGGCCTAGAACCACACAGAAAAAAGCTGCTAGGATTACCCTCAGGCAG